CGGATCATGCCCTTCATGCTCATGCAATCCTTCTTTGGATGTCAATCCGGACCACCACAGGTCCGGGGGCAAACATGCATGTTTCCATTTGCGTCCATCATTGAACGCCTTGGTGTAGATGTCAGCCGCCATTCTGTCGGTGGCCTCATACGCCAAATACATGTAATCACGTGTGAACATCTCATGCATCCACGAAATGCAAACACCATGGCTTCTCTCAAGGTGGCGCATCGTGGGGTTTCTCCCCGATCGCACGACACCGATCATAGCCTTGTTATCGTCATAGAACACAAAGTTCGGTGACTTCTTGAAAATCCGCTGCAACAACTTCAGAGCAGGCATACCCATGGCTCTCATGGCAACATCGGCCGCAACTATTTCGGCCTCAGGGGTCTGGGTTTAACCCAAGAGCCTGTTCCAACCATTTCGTCCATGTGTCAGTATCTGGATCTGCGCATGCACTCAGAACATTCATCAGCAATTGCATCTTCCAGTTATCGAGTTGATGGATCTTTGGCCAAGCAGGAATAGACACCCTCTCGGCTTCTTTCCTCGAAATCCTTGGTCTTTCGCTCTTGATTTCTCGATCATCCCTCGATCTTCTGCGCCTCCTCCGTGTCCGATTGTCATCTTCTTCCTCTTCTTCTTCCTCGTCCTCTTCATCCTCTTCGTCGTCGTCATCCTCGTCCTCATCATCGGGTGGATCATCCGGAGGTCCTCCTCCGCCACCTGTGAGGCTCAACTGACGTCGACCTGCCCCTTGTCTATTTCCATTGGGCGAGAATCCACCGTAATCCAATGGGGGTGTAGTACCGTTGTTTCCCCCTCCATCACCACTACCACCAGCTGTAGTAGCGGATTGTGGGACATGCCCAACAACCCCTTGCATCTGGGATAGGTGTACATCGATCATTGGATCACCAAAAGACGGAAAGAGAATCGAACCTGGCATTAGGGATCAGATTCGATGACGATGACGGGAATAACCCAGTCACCCTCTTGTCTACCCTAGTCGAATTAGCTTGGGGTCCTCCCTCAGCGCGTTTCACTACTGCTCGTTCACGATGTCCATCTTTACTGCTAGAGGCTTCCTGTGTCTCCAGCTTCTTGAGTGCTCGTAGTTCCTCATTGTCAGCATCGAGTTGACGAACAAAACTCTCTTCTTGCTTGAGCGTCGCCTCCCGATCCTTCAGTTGTCCCTGAAGTTCACGCATCTCCTCGAGGTACTCATCATACACTCCTTTAGCTGTCAATCTCCAGTACTCGGCCTCCTTCGATTTCTCGTCCATCGTGCACCGCTCTTCTTGTTTTGCTTCTCTGACCTGGGCTAACTCCAAGATCGCATCTTGACGATGACTACCCTCGATAGCAATCATCTGGTCCTTCTTCAACACGTCGGATTCGTACTGCTTGACGATCTCTTCCTTCTCGCGAAGTAAGCACTCTGCTCTCTTCGATTCTTGCTCCGCGAATGTTGTAACGTCGTTCAGTCTCGCCATCAGCTGCTCCCTGGAGTCCTCCATAGAGTACGTCTCGGGGCGTTTGACGAGCGCATGCTCCAACTGTGATTTTAGACTTTGGACCATCTCCTCCTCGTGAACTTCTCGATAGATGTAGACGATTCAATACCTCTGATCTGTTGCTGATAAACTGATATTTGTTGTGAAGCCTCACGGTGTATCTGATTTGCACGTATAGCTGATTCCTGCGCGGCCGACTTCTCGCTTGCCATGTAGGATTTCATCACTGCAATCTCCCGCTTCTGCTCCATAATAGTTCCTTCAGCTTGTCTCATCTGTTGTATTATAACATTCGACTCCATGTCTTTCTTTTCCCCGTACTGATATGCGTTCATTTCCACCTTGCGCATCTGTTGGGCTTCCTCCTCAAACTTGCGCCATGCCTCAGCCATGTGGTGTTGGTGGTGACTCACAAGATGTCCCGACTGCTTGCTGGCAATCTCGCATCGTCTCTCCAGCTCCTGGATCCGGATGGTGCTCCCATAGTCTTCTTGATGAAGATTCGCCATTGCTGCCGACATTTCATCAAGTGTCTTTTGGTATTCCCCGATCTCCATCTCCATCTTGTTCTTTTCTTTAATCGCGGCGCGAAACTCTGCACTGGTGGGTGATTTAGACCTCCCACCTTTTGATGTTGACCTCACGCCCTTCTGCGACGTCCGTGGTGTCGCAGGTGAAGATGATGATCTTCTCGGCGGGGATTCTCTTTGCTTCGACTCCTGACGAACATCGATCTGCTTCCATGATCTTGTAGGAGTGGATATGTCGCTGAATAGCGCGGAACCTCCGCTCCCAGGTTCATCCTGTAAATCTGCGACCAAATCCATCACCGCAGGAAGAGCCATCAATCCATTGGATCCCTCTGAGCTGCTGTTCCCAAAAGTTGCAGTACTTGGGCTCGCTGAAGATGCCATTGTACCGTGTAGGTATTGTTCCTTTATTGTCCCTGTACCCGCAATAAACCAGCTGTCTCTCTGTCCAGTGTAGAGCTTGTCGTTACGGCTGATAACCTGTCAAGAGACGGCAAGGTGACGTCCCGTGGGACGCTGTCCACCGAACCCTCCAGCTGTAAATACCAACCACGTAGAAAGGTGTATACGGTCAAACCGTTATAGCCGAACCCGTGTAACTGTTGTAAGGGAGAAGGAATAATAGTTACAACAGTGGTCCTGACAAATGCAGCGCAAGCGAAGTGTTTTCCGCTCTCAATTGCCGATCACGTATGAACGCAGCTTCACATAAGATCTTGAACCTCACTTGTGACTTGAGCCAAATGGCAATCAATGGAACCTTGTAAGCAACACAAACACGGACCTCAGAACTGCTTCCCAATTTAGGCACGGGGCCAGGAGGGTTTTAACAGAAGCCTTTTGAATTGACCATCGAATGTCCAATGGGTTGATCAAATTACTCCAACGTAGACCCCAAAAGGCGAGCCATAAAGCGGACGTCAACACTTTGCATTGCGGCAAGCATCTTGCATGCTGCGTCACACTCACCAGCACACCTGACAGCACCCTGCAACAACAACCTGGCATAGCACCCTAAAACAGCACCCTGCCCAGCCCTCCGTTGCGGTTTTCAACAGCCTTGCAACAGCACCTCGCAACTGCGGCAGCACCTTGCGCCCGGCAAAGGCTGCCCAGCCCAACACTCTCCAGCTTGCAGCCTGCAGCAACACCTTGTCCAGCCCGGCGTCACCCCCTGCAACACCCTGAACTGGCCTGACCAACCCGGCCAACCCAACCCGTTCACAAGTTGCCGGAGCATGCGCAGTTATTGGGCGGTGGGAGAGCGTGCGCGCAGGTCGAGCGGCCCTTATCACGGGGTAGAGGGGTGGCAGATATGCTGCTGGAGCTTGCGCGCAGTCGAGCCGCCACGCTTACCATCTCAGCGGCAGGAGCGCTGCTAGAGAGCGCAGCCAAGCGCGCGCTCATGCTGCTGGAGCACATGTGTGCACTTGGGCGGGCGGGCTAATCACTTGGCGGTGGGTGCGCTTCGGGAGAATGCGTGTGCGCGCGCTTGGGCGCGCAAGCCTGTAGTTTGGGCGACGGGCGCGCTGCTCTAGCAGCGCACGCAGTCGCGCGGGCGAGCTTTTGACTTGAGCGGCGAGCGCGCTGCTAGAGCGCACGCGCAGTCGAGCGGGTGCGCTTATCACGCGTGCTGCTAGAGCGTGTGCGCAGTGGACCGTGATGCGCTTATCATTCGGGCGAGGGTGTGCAGTCGAGTGGGCGCGCTCAGCATTTGGGCCTCGCGTTCGCTGCTAGAGCGCGCGCACTCAAGCGAGGTCGATTGTCATCTGGGCGGCGGGCGGGCTGCTAGAGCGTGCGCGCAGTCGAGCAAGCACGCGTGTGATTTGTGCTGCTACAGCGCTTGCGCAGTTGCGCCTATCATTTGGGTGGTAGGTGACACTCTACCTGTGAACTGTATACTTTGGCACTGTACACTGTCGCTCTGTCACTGCACCTTGCCACTCTGTCACTTTTGAGGCCCCCTTTCTTCTTGTGTTGGCGGGGCGTGGGCCAAACGAGAGCCATTGAAACCAACCCTCTCCGTGGATCATGCGTGCCGAGGTCGAAAAGCCAGTGGCTTTTACGACTTTATCTTGAGCCCGATGAACCCTCTGCTTGGATCGTGCGTGTCGAGGTCGAAGAGCTTCTGCTTTTGAAACTTTATCTTGGATCCTCTGCGAGGATCATGCGTGTCGAGCTCAAAAGGCCCGCAGCTCTTGCAAGTTCATCTTACGTGCGGGTGAACCCTCCGCTCGTGCGCGTCAAGGTTGGAAAGTTCTTGGCTTTTGCAACTTTATCTCGAGCCCGATGAACCGGTCTGCGTGGATCGTATGGGTTGAGGTTGAAAATCTCGTGGTTTTACACTTTGGCTTCTCCGCAGCTAACACAAACTCATGTTGCTGCTACTTTCCCCAGGATCGGTGAACCCTCTGCGTGGATCGTGCTTGGCGAGGTCGAAAAGCTTGTGCGGGCTTGGCAAACCCTCTGTGGGGATTGGAGAGTCGAGGCTGAAAATCTCATGGCTTTTTGCTTTTTATGTGTGTCCGATCCCCCCCGTACCCGCGCATTGCGCGCTTTCCCTCATGTCAAAGCCGTTGTGCAACACAACGTTCATTTTCTGCCCAACTTTGCGCACCTTACGATGAACGGAAAATGGAGCCTTGCAACGCCACTGTGTCATAGTGTATGTGTCGGCGTGTGGGCCAAGTCAAAGCCAAGACCGTGTAGTGGCGGCTGCCGGTACGGGACCCACTCGCTTCGTTTCTCATTTCTTGCTATAACAACCAAGATGGTGCCAGAGAAGCGTTCCCCCATTTTCCTGCCTCAGCTGGGCTGACAACCTCTTCGTCTTGTTTTGTGGGGTTGGTTGTCAGTTGTGGATGAAATGGCAACACGTTTCAGAACGCCGGGAGGCCTTAGCAATTCCTTGTCATGTCGCATCCGGGTCTTTGGACTTGGACACGAACTCCTCCCGGCGGCCGATATGTGAAGCTGAGCCAGTCCTGTGGCTCCTGGCGGAATGGCACGCAAACAGCGCGCCAGCCCGCAAGGAAGGCATTGATTGGAGAACGGCAAAATACTGGCGGCCGCACTGCGGCCGCAACCCTCGTTACCAATTGAGCTTCAGAAACGCAGCAGCTATGGGAACATTGGCTGACCTTTGTACAGTCATGTCGCTTCTGATACACCTTAGCTACCTGCCTAGATCGCCAGCTCGACAGCGGGCACATAGCTCGACACCTTGCTGGTTGATTCATTAAATCATAGGTTGCGTTGATGATAAGTTCCTCATCAACTCGGCAGGTGAATCGCAAGTGAGCAAGCAGGTGAGACAGCTAGTTAGCCAGTTAGCCAGGCAGTCAGCTGGCTGGTTAGATACCCAGCTACCAAGTTGGTTACCGAGTAATTAGTCACTTGGTCAATTACTTGAACAATCAAACTTGCTGATCAGTTGGCCGGCTAACTAGCAGGCCCTCCAAAGTGAATAGCTAATACATTATTTTCTGGTAAGCTAGCCAGCAAGCCTTGGTTGGCTTGCTGGCCACCGAGCTGAAAGGCTACTTGCCTGCTTTGTCAACCCAAGAAAGCAGGCAGCCAGCTGAGTCAGCTGGCTGGCTGACTAGCCAGTCATTTCCTCGGCTAGTAGCCAAGCAATTGGTAGCTAGGCGTTCATTTGGCTGACTAGGTGACCGGCTTGACTGGCTTCTTGTTTGTTTGCCCTGCGAGCGAGATAGCTAGCTGATTAGCTAGCTCGTGTTATTTAGCTAATCAACTCTCATGCTGGCTTGCCAGTTTGCTGGTTAGCTACTCGACTGGCCAAGCGATTAGCTGGCTTGTTGCGCTATATAGCTTGTCGAGGGCGCCCTGCTGCCTTGAGCATGTCCTCGTGTGTTTTATCTACGCCTTGTCTGCGGATTCCATGTGCTTTGCTGCCGATCAAAGCTGATTCCGTGGCGCTTCTTCTGCAGATGTGTCCTGTTGCGCCAAAGCAGGTGGATATGGAAAGAAGTTGTTCAAAATGCAGACTCTTGCATCTGTTGGGAAAGAGCGATCTGTTCCTGCCAGCTAAAGCGCTTCGGTGATTAGCGACAAGCTGTAGGTACGATTCCAGCACGCCTCGTTCAGTTGACTGTTAACCTGCATGCCTGCATCGCTTGAATAAAAATCCTCGCGCTGGGCAGAACATGAATCCCAAAGTCATTTATACTCTGTCAGGTCCTCATCTATGCAGCGTCCAGTGAAGCGCCCATAATCGCGAGCCACTAGAGCGCCGATTTTGATCGCTGAATTGCCATCATAGCCAGCCCTGCCGAACAAACACATGCGCGCGGGCATGCACACACTTTGGTACGCACACACACAGGCATTCTTCTTCTACTTCCGGCCTCTGCAGGGTTGCCTGGGCAGTGTCGATGCAGCGCTGCGAAGTGGCGGTGAAGGCAACATCGATGTTGAGCCCCGTGTGTTTGAGATTGTCTCCAGCTCTCAAGGCCTCTTCCTTGCCCAGATCTGACAGCGCCGCATCACTCCGTCCCACGAACGTGCCGTGGGCGACAGTCTTTCCATGTCGCACGACTACAAGGCGACCTGCCATTGCAGCTTTGCCTTTGCAGAATGGGGCTAAGTCTGCAGTGTAGTACGTGCAGCAAGTTTTACTTCGCAAAGCACTCAGGTAGTTACTTTGTCAATGATAGGTCGTGAGCAGCAAGCCCCGACCAATGACTCGAAAGTCCTGCCTGATGCATTCCGCAGTCACCCTCGTGTTCTTCTGGCCTGCCACAAATACACGGGGCGTCCAATTGCATATGTGGACTCGCAGAATACATCGCACTATGACCTGAGGCCCTTGCTCCCTCAGGAAGTCTCATGGCAGTGGCAAGCGCTAGCCCGCCGCCTGGCGAGGGCGAAAAAACGTGGAAATACGAGCCATGCTCCTAATGGCCATTCCAAAGTTGGACCGCTGCCTGAGAAACGCAACAAGCCGTTCCTTCGCGCAATGCCGCCAAGGATGGGCTACATGCACCCAGCAGCAGGCATTGGAATGGGTCCCTGAGTGCGACAAAGATCAAGCAGGTTATCACAAGCCAGGGCGGTTCGTCCTCCCAAAATTTTGGTCTAAGTCAGCAATACGTTTGCCAAATGCCTGCTACCATGTTCCCACGAGCGTCCTTTTGCTCTTAGAAGCAGGACTTGAAAATATTGAAAACACTCTCATTTGCACTGGCTGCTCTCCCCATCCCATAGCCGGGATCGCACATCAGCACAAACATGCTCAATGCGTCAGCGGAAAGCTGAGAAGTCTAAAGTTGCAAAAGTGCATGATTAGTGCAAAAAGCAAGCAAGCCAGTCTACACAAGCGCCCGTTACACCCGTAACAAATCACTTTGAACCGATGCGCGCACGAGCCGGCCCAATTGACCGCCCATTCATCCCGAGTCCATGCTCAAAAGCCTGTCAAAAATCCAGCGGCCAATCGAGCCAGTCCCCGCCAAAAGGACAACCTGAGCCAACCCCTTGTGGGAAGGAAGATTCCTCATTTCCCACGCGCGTTTTGCAGCCAGTTCAACAAACACACAACAGGACAGATCAAGTGCAGCTCCCGCCTCAAGCGATTTGAGTTTACAAAGCTTCATGCGGCGCGGTGGAAGACCGAGCTTCGCCAAGGTGGGCACCTATGCATGCCAACGAGCAAAAGGATGGCTGGAGGGGCTCAAAGGCGGCGGCAGAGGTTGGGGCAGGGATGGTTCGCTTCGGGGCCCTAATGCTGAGGCACGCGTATTGGAGTGAAAGTCTTGTGGGAGATCCGTTGCCCCTGGTAAATATCAACGAAGGCGCATAGCGATTGCACAACTCCAAGGCTTCAAGCTCGGGAAAATACAAGCAAGCCGAACGTGCGTTTGTACTTGCCAGAATAGCCATCAGGCTAGAATGTGCGTTGAGGCAGGATTGAGCATAGCCGCATAGCAGCTCTTTCTTACTTAAGTCATTCAAAGCGCAACATAGCGCAAGCCTGGTCCCATGAGTTTCCGAACTTGGGAGAGAGGGGAGTGGAGCGCCTGGCGTCCACAAAATAAAATCGAACTCAATGATTCGATTCACATAAATCACAAGGCTAAAGAGTAGGACAAATCGTTACGCAAGTAAGTTAGAAAAGCCACAGGGGGAATTCTGTTTACGTAAGTTAATTATCGTTACGTCAGTCAATCAGGAAAGCCATGAAAGGAAACGTGTTATGTCAGTTGATCAGGAAAGCCATAGTGGGATAAATCCTTGCGTCAATCAATTAAAACAGCCTATCGGTACGTCAGGCACGGAAAGCCATAAGGGGAAAAATGTTATGCCAGTCAAACTGGTGGGAATGATATGTGTTCAAGACAAGTCGTTCCGTCAGTCCATCAGAAAGGCCACAGTGGGGCAAGCAATGGTGGAAATTAGCAAAGGCATGGTGGAACATATCATTGCGCCAAACGTTCCCTTTCCCTACCTTAAAGTCATAGTGGGACAAATTGTTGTCTGTCAATCAGAAATCAGAACAGCAACGGTGGGACATTTTCTTATGTTAGCCAATCAGGAAAGCCACAAAAGTTACGCGTTCCGTCAGCCAATCAGGAAAGCCAGAGTGGATGGAGATTGTAGAAACGAATCTTCTGGGGCTCAGAGACCATTTGAGATACATCCAAACCTCTCATAATCACCAGTGATCAGCGTCCCACCAATTGGTGGCTTGGATTGGTGGGTTTGGATTTGTGGTTTGGGGGCTTGAACCCCCTCCTTAGCCACCAAACCACCAATCCAAACCAAGCATCAGTGGGGGAAGCTGAGATACTTCAGGAAAATAGCAACTTGGGAGATGGTTGTGCAGCAAGAAACCAAACATTTGTGTTGGGACCATGCATGCACCGATAATGATAACAATAATAAGCCCATATTGGGGGGGGGAGGGGGTGAGTGGACGGACCCCTTCAAAAAGCGGCTGACTTTTGGACTGAAAGAAGTGGTTGTCAATTGCGGGCAGCCAACGGGTGAAGACGTTCAATTATTAGAACAGCCCGTTGTAAAAGATTTGATGTTCACTTTCTGTTGGGGATTCCCATGCAACATGGACAACTTTGTCACAGGCACAGGTGTCCTTCTTGGAAAATGGATAGACCTGACAAATGATTGAGCCAGGTAAACCAGGGCCTTTGATTTTCTAAGAAAAAAACCACCAAAAAGGGCACAACTTGGTCACAGGGGTTGCCGTCTCAAGCCCGCGGCCTGGCCTCCGTGAAAAGGCCCCCTGCACTGAGAGTTGATCCCAACTGATTTGGTCTGGGGATTTCGGTGTTGCTCCAGGTACTTCCACTTCAATGCTAGAAAAACAAGAAGAAAAAGAAACTCCCGTGTCCTTTCCATTTGATTGAGCCTGGCGAAATCGGAGATACGGTGCATGCCAACTCAATATTGCAAGGCGGGAAACCCGGTTGTTCTGCAATAAAACCACCCTGAACCAGGGCCATCTGTTTCTTGAGCACACTAACCCAAAAGGACACCTATGAGCCTCCGCAGTTCTTGCCGTCTCCGGCTCCCTTTGAGGCGCGGGCCACGAGCCCGCCTGGCAACGAGACAAGCTTCGGGGGTCCGGACGGGTCCCGGGGTGGGTTCTGCGTTTCCCCTTTTAAGGGCGGCGTCAAAAAGCGCCGATTTTTTGGGGGGCAGACAAGAGGTAGGCCATTGGACCTTTGCTTAGCACTGTTTTGGTACTCTCTTAAAAGCCTGGAGGGGTGGATCCACAGAATCTGCATCCAACCGTGTCCCAGAACCCCCCTGCCTCAAAAAAAACATTTGCCATGGAAGGCGGTCTGTTTTGAAGTATCCCCGCCAAAAGCCTTCTTGCTCGTTTGCCAAGGGGGGCAGGTGGTTTCGTTTGCTACGAAACACCTGCTTGGCCTGGTGACTGATCCACACAACCTGTCCCGATCCGAATCCGCAAACCTCCTAAACGTTAATCTTCATAAACCCAAGAAAGACTATGTATCATTCTGGCCAAAGACCGACACAAATACATGAAGATATAAAGTGGCTTAAAGTATTTGACAACTACACCATAATCCATAGAACAAACTCACAATTAACACAATAAAAAGATATAGGCATACATATATGAGTATATGTTTATATCAGAATTCTAACTTGGTTGGACATGTATGATCATTGGACATACGACGTTAAAAAGAAAACAAAACAACAAATGAGAGGTTAAACCGATAGTTTGCCTAAAAGTATTGGATGTTGACTGTTTCTGGAGGCGATATGAGTTAGTTGGCTCCGTTGTAAATGAAACCCACAAGAGTTTTAATTGGTTCCAAATGAATTGGACGAACGATATGCCCATGCAATTGTTGATCTAAAACAAAACATTGTTAATGAGTATTGTATTACCATCCAATCTTCGTCAGCGTGAATATAAAGATATATATATATATACTGTATAGATTAAATGCAAAAATCCACACCCTCCCCCTGTTTCTAGACGCCGTGTTGTAGCGCTCTTGGATGAATATGGGCAGCCTTAGGGCGCCTAAGCAATCTGGTAATGCTTCTCAGAGGAGGAAGTCACGTCCAGATCCTTGCGGATTTGACGTCAGGGAAGGATCTTGCCTGTTGCACGACTTCCAAGACTTACAAAGGACTTGTATCGTGGCTTTCGCCTGGTCCCCCCCCCCCCCCAGCGTGTCCTTTGACGCGGTTTGGCAGAAGAGGTTTGTCCAGAATTGGCTGAACCCAAAGACCCATCTGGCCCACGTCACCTGAGGGCCCCTTTTTGGTAAACCCGCAAGCCAGCCATGAAATCAATCAAGCACCCTGCAGGAAGTTCTTCATTCCTCCAAAATTCTGCAGACAAGTACACCAACCCTCACCTGCTCCAAGACCACTCAAAGCCGATCATACATCCACCCAACACCAACCCTCACCGCCCCAAACCCTTAGCTGACCCTCCAAGCTAAAACTCGAGCCGGTCATCTTTGCAGCCAGCTTTCAAAAGAACAAGTCTTTTCATGGTAAATCCCTCCTTTAGATTCCCTCCACCTTCCCCAAACCAAAGCTCAACTCAACGATGCTCTCATGCGACTCGACTAGCGCAAGGCTCGAAATTCAATTTGGCCAAGGGAAAACAGAAGGGCTCAAGACTCGTGTTCGATCCTTGTTTGGTCATGTTTTAGGGGGCCAAAGAGTCTATAGCTGGCTGCTTGGAGGTCAGCACTTGGTACAGCCAAAGTCGCTGTGGACTAAGGTCCATCCCACAAAAATCTACTCCTCCCAATTCCAAAAACCAAAAGCATCCCATCTGGGCAAGTCTCCAGACCGTCCCTGCAACTGCAACTCGCCGGGCCGGCTGCTGTTGCCGCTCCCAGCGCTAGTGTTGCCGCCGGCACTCGCAGCGCTGCTACTGCCGCTGGCTCCGCTGGCTGCACTGGCTCCGCTGGCTCCGCTGGCATTGGGCGCCTGAAGCGCCTGGCATAGTGGAAACCATCTGAGAGAGTGTTCTGGTGTTCTGCTCCTTGTTGAAAGTTAAGCATTTAGGATGATATGTGTCATAAATCCCTTTAAACA